TTAAGTGTACACTCATTTCAAAAACAACAGTGAGAGAAAAAAAATCATCCATGCACAACTACTGATACATTTCCTCTGAAGAGGTTTTTAAAATTATTATTTTGTTAGAGTTTTTTAAAAATCACTTTTAATTATCGTCCACACTATTTTTCTTAGTCACTTAAGGTTAATTTTTCATTATCATAAAAACCCAGCATTTTAAAGAGCTACACAGTAATCCTCAATAGAGGATAATAAGTATTGCCTCTTATTGGACACTTTCTTTGTTTTCACTTTGTTTTTTCTGTTCTAAATAGTGCAGTAGTGAATATTTGATGCCTAAAACTTTCTTTTTTAAGTTTTAGGATTGTTTTGTTTGCATAATAACAGAAGTAAAATTATTAAAACAAAAGATAACAATATTCTTATTTGCTTGCAAAAGGGTAAATTTGATTATTACCTTATATAAATAATAGAGTATTTCCTACTTCCCTCAATTTAGTGTAAGTACAATTTTTTTTATTTCTGCTATCCAGAATGCAGTTCTAATGAAATCTTTTTAAAATTCTGTAACAAGGAAAAGATGAAGAATACAATTTAACATAAAACATAATTGTAATGGGTTAACTTACTTGAAGTTCAAAAAGGATAACAAAAAGTTATGCATAGAATTTTAGCAGTAAATGGAGCCAAAGAGTACCTAGCCTAGCTCTCATTTTTCTTCATAAGAAGACTAAGATACCAGTGAAAATTAGTTACCTAAATTCAAACAGTTTATTATCTATTGGGAGAACCCGCCCCCAATAATTCAACGTTATTTCATGTAGGTTCTTTTCTATTTCCCTAAATGTCGGCCAGTCTGAGAAATAAAGGGAAAGAGTACAAAAGAGAGAAATTTTAAAGCTGAGTATCTGGGGGAGACATCACATGTCAGCAGGTTCTGTGATGCCAGCAAAGTTTTTATTAGTGATTTTCAAAATGGGAGGGAGTGTATGAACAGTGGGTGGGTCACGGAGATCACATGCTTCACAAGGTAATAAACTATTACAAGGCAAATGGAGGCAGGGTGAGATCACAGGACCAGGGAAAAATTAAAATTGCTAATGAATTTTCGGGCATGCATTGTCATTGATAACATCTTATTAGGAGACAGGGTTTGAGAGCAGACAACCGGTCTCACCAAAATTTATTAGGTGAGAATTTCCTCGTCCTAATAGGCCTGGGAGCGCTATGGGAGACCAGGGCTTATTTCATCCCTTGTCCACATTTGTAAAAGACAGACGTCCCCAGAGCGGCCATTTTAGAGACTTCCCACTAGGAACGCATTCTCTTTCTCAGGCATGTTCCTTCCTGAGAAAAATAATTCAGCGATATTTCTCCTATTTGCTTTTGAAATAAGAAAAATATGGCTCTGTTCCGCCCAGCTCTCAGGCAGCCAGACCTAATGGTTATCTCCCTTGTTCCCTGAATATAGCTGTTAACCTGTTCTTTTTTCAAGGTGCCCAGATTTCATATTGTTTAAACAATTTGTGCAGTTAACACAATCATCACAGGGTCCTGAGGCGACATACATCCTCATCTTACGAAGATGACGGGATTAAGAGATTAAAGTAAAGACAGGCATAGGAAATCACAAGAGTATTGATTGGGGAAGTGAAAAATGTTCATGAAATCTTCAAAATTTATGTTTAGAGATTTCAGTAAAGACAGGCATAAGGAATTATAAAAGTATTGATTTGGAGAAGTAATAAATGTCCATGAAATCTTCACAATTTATGTTTTTCTGCCATGACTTCAGCCAGTCCTTCTGTTCGGGGTCCCTGACTTCCTGTAACAATTATCCAATATAATTTCCATATTTGAAGGTAATTTGATACCTGTTTACATACATCTTACATCAGTATTACTAACAAATTCATACATTATTTTATTCTCTAGCCCTCAGAAAATTTGAAACTAGTAAAACATATGAAATCTTGAACAATCAAGGACAGATAATTTATTTTGCAGAAGAGAGAAATAATTGCTTCCTTCGACACCTTTGTGGATTTTCAAGGCCTTTTACTATTACAATTTATGATAATGTAGGTAGAGATGTACTTGCTCTGCATAAGGCTGTGAAATGTAGCTGCTGCTGGAGTAGATGCTGCCTACAAAAGGTAAGTAAATATTTATACCATCATATCAAAAAAGCCTTGGTACTGGACAGTATGATAAAGTCTAAGCATTGGGATTGGCTGCAAAGGATTTTCTGGAATGAAAAATGTCAGAGAGATCATTGAATTTTTGTACCATGTACCTATAGGCTGAGAATCATGCACAACATTGCAAATTTTTTCTAGGCAATGAAGGTCATAAGATCTTTAGATGTTTTCTGTTCTAAACTATCTAAGCATCCATCCAAGGCTTTTTGTGACCTAAGAAATCTTTGCCTGTTGCGAAGTGGCAAAGACTCTATCTCATGTTTCCTATAGAAGCTCTATATTTAAATCTACCTCCATTTTTAGTTAATTTTCATATTCATGTGAGGAAAGTGTTGAGAACCATTTTTTCCCACTTTAATATTTAGTTGTTTAAACACCATTATTTGTAAAAGACTATTCTTTTTCTACTGGATTGTTTTGGCAACATTTCTGAAAATGAATTGCCAATGTATATGTTTACCTATTTCTAGAGTCTACTCTCTTCTGTTATTCTACCTATGTGTATACATACAAATACATACACACATGCAGAGCTAAGATCATAAGGACAATATAATATTGGCATAATACCAGCTATAGAGTAAGTCTTAATATCACGTAGTACAAGCCTTCTTATTTTGTTTTGCTTTTGTCAAACCTTTTTTGGCTCTCTTAGTTCCTTCACATTTTTATATAAATGTTACAAAAAAAAAAAACCTCTCATATTCAAAAATCCTGCTGAGATACTGAGGGTATTTAATCAATGGATTAATTTCAAAAGAACTGATATCTTATTAATATTGAATTTTCTGCTCAATGACTATGGTTTATTTCTCCTTCTAGTTAGATCTTCTTTAATAACTCCCAGTAATAGTCATTTTCAGTACTTAGGTCTTACAAATATTGTATTACAAATAGATTTAATTATTGTATGTTTCCAGATACAATTATAAATGGTACTTTTTATTTAAACTTTACATTTTTGTTGTGTTTATATAGTATATTGTATACAGAAAATTATTGTTCTGTGTATACTTACACTTTACTCTGACCTTGCTAAAACTTACTTATAAATTCTAGTAGCTTTTTGGTGGATTCCCTAAAGTTTCCTACAATTATGGATACGAAAATACAGATTTTACTTCTTCCTTTGTCATCTGTATGCTTTTTATTTGTATGTATAAATTTATGAATGTATGTGTTTATTGTCTGGATTCTGGAAATCTCAGAAACATTTTACTCTTGTCACGTGTTTCACTACATCTACTTATATTTTGAGGCTTGAGGCTTTGTTTTTCCATCTAATTTTGCCATTTAATTTTGTCTAAAGAATTTGACAGTGGTTTTGTTTTGTTTTGCTAGCATACTTGTTCTGTTCTTTTCCATGAGAGTTTTTGGGGGGATTTATAAGCCATACCACCATTATCATCAGATTGACTTAGCAGTCTTCCTTTGCCTTTTAATGGGTAATACTTACATATGGTAAGAAAAAGGATAGGAAAGGAAGGAAAGAAGGAAGGAAGGAGGAAGGAAAGAGAGAGAAAGAAAAAGAAAGAAAGAAAGAAGAAAGAAAGAAAGAAAGAAAGAAAGAAAGAAAGAAAGAAAGAAAGAAAGAAAGAAAGAAAGAAAGAAAGAAAGAAAAGAAAGAAAGAAAGAAAGAAAGAGAGAGAGAGAGAGAGAAAGTACAAGGTTGGGAAGAAGAAGGAAGGAAGGAAGGGAAGGAAAGAAAGAGCAAAGAAAGAAAGAAAGAAAGAAAGAGAAAGAAGAGAGAAAGAAAGAAAGAAAGGAAGGAAGGAAGGAAGGAAGGGAGTGAGAGAGAGAGAAAGGAAGGAAGGAAGGAAGGAGAGAGAGGAAGGAGGAAGGAAGGAGGAAAGAAGAAAGGAAGGAAGGAATGGAGGAAGGAAGGAAGGAAAGAAAGAAGGAGGAAAGAGGTAGGAAGGAAGAAAGGAAGGAAGGGAAGGAGAAAAGGAAAAGGAAAAGGAAAGGAAAAGGGAAAGGAAAGGAAAAGAAAGGAAAGGAAAGGAAAGGAAAAGTCAGAATTCTCTACTTTTCAGAATAGAACAGGACAGAATATAATGGAAGCATATTCAGGAGAAACAATTTATCTCAAATGCTTGCTTCCTAGGGCTCCTACATCCCTTTTTAGATACAACTACCATTATAAGTTTCTTATGTATTCTTCCACAGTTATGTTGTGAATATTTGTATAATGCATTACATAAATATAACATGTTTATGCTATGTGTGTGTGTTTTAACATAATTAGCAGCATATTATTCTACTTTTTAAGCACATAACACTGTAATTTGAGGATTACATCTATGTTTAGAACTTTCTTGTTCCTTTAAATGGCAGCATAATAACCCATTACATGGATATGCCATAATTTATTCAATAAGTCTCTGTTGAGTCTGATGAACTGAGCTTTAAATAAAAATTGGGACAAAATTTAGATTTGCCATGGCAAAGAGTTATGAAACTGCTTCGCATATTGAGTAATAAGCAGTTTTGGATGAGATTAGAGTTTATGTTGTATTTCATGGGCATTGCAATTTGAAAAGTAATTCTCATACTTTCCTACAAAGGAAATTATTATTATCCCTCTTTTGCAAATGGAAAGTAAATTTCAGAGACTTTAGTGATTTGTTCACATTTCAAGCAGTTAGTAAGCAGTGAAGTCATGTCTTAGCTCCGGGGACTTTAACATATAAATCCTGGTCTTCTCACTTCTATGTTTATTCTCAAACATGAAGCATCCCTTAAATACGGAAAATTCTATCTAAATATACAAAAAGCTCATTTAAGAGATCGTACAGAACTAAATAAAGTGTTACTTACAAGTCTGACATATCCGGTCGGATCAATGATATATTTTCAATCTTTTGCAGCTAAAAGTTGAAGCTCCACCTGGTGAAACAATTGGGTATGTTTATCAATATTTTCACCCATTCTTGCCAAAGTTCAAAATAAAAAATGAGAATAAGGAGGAGGTAATGAAAATTAGAGGCCCATGGTTGGTCTTCAGCTGTCTCAGGGATCTAAATTTTAATGTAAGTAATTAACAATATTTTGATGTCATATTAAAATTAGTTTATTACATTTTTATAATAGATATAATTAGTGAATATGAATAAAGAAAAATAAAAGAATATTATTATGAAAATATTGTAACTATTCGCTTTTTAAAAAAATTGGATTACTAATTCACAGTGTCCTTATTTAAAAGCTCTATAAGTTTATGTAGCTTATAAGACAGGTTTTAAAGGTATCAAAAGTTAGTTATTTAATATCTCAAAGAATATCGACAGAGAAATTTAAACTTTATTTAAATGGACAATGACCTAATCTGGTACTAATTATAGATAATGTGTTATATTAATGTTCATTAACATAGTTTCTGCTTTTTATAAAACTTTGAAATTTAATATTTTTAAAAAATTTTTCTATGTGCTTACTAATTTACTTCTCAGATTATAGCCAACATCCAGATAATAATTTGGGAAATTAGCTACTAAACACACTTCATATAGTTAATAAAATTAAATAACTTGTTATATTTATTTAAACCTGAAGATTCCTAAGCAATAGAGAATATTGTGTTGGTTTAACATTATAGTAAATGTGCAAAAAGCCATACTTCCCTAACTTGCATCTAAAACATGTTTGTTTGTTTGAATATCTAAAATATCTAGTAGGAAATTTGGATACAGCCTAACTAAAATACTACCTAATTTTCCTTCCTTTCTTAGAATTATGTTGATTCATTTTAGTGATTCTGATTCTTACTGGCATCTGCATATACTGATTAAGTAAAATATACTTAATACATTACAAATTAATTGTTAATAATACGGTTAGTTCAGAAATTAATAATGTGACTCCAGGGGACTCTATTTTAAGTTAAAAGTCAAAGTAACAGAGTAGACTGTGCATAAAACTCTGGAATCCAAAGCCATTTTTACTGACACCAAATAATAAAATGCTTTTTGTGCATTATTTTGTATTTCAGAGTATAATACAGCAAATCCTACTCATTGTAATATTTGCAAAACTTTGTCAAAGTTATATTAAACTCTTCCTATTTTTTTCTGTTTGAAGCAAAACAATTTTAAAGCTGGCACTCTTGGGTAAACTCCAAGTAAGAGGAGCAAGAAAGGGAAATCATGATTTTGTAAGAAAGTCATCTTTTGCATGAATGTGGACAATCCTTTTAATACTTTTGGCTATGAATAAGAGGAGAGAGATAAAGTAGGAGCTAGTTACAGGGCCAGAACTAGAATGAGGCAATTAAGGTGTTCATCTCAGGTACAAAATTTAAGTGAGCAACACGAATCTTAGTATTAATGGTAAGTGATAAATGAATGTGTTGCATTTTTTTAAAAATTAAAATTAATGAAAAACTTTTTTTATAATGAAATACACCAAAAAATTAAGAAAGGAACTGACCATGTACTTGTATTACTTATATCTCTGCAATACCCCAATCCTGTTTCTGGCTGGATGAAGGCACAGGTGGAAGGTGAGGTATTTTTCTGAAAAGTATATCATTATCCCTTTGACTGTAAAAGAACAGAGCCAAATGAGAGAAAGTGTGGAGATACAACAGAGGCTGAATACTTGATGAACCCGGTTTCTTATTTGATATGGGACTAAGACACATGTAGAGAATTAGCTTCATATAGAGATGGCCCGTTCACCATAACGGGAAGGAGGCCGGAAATGTTGGTACGAATACGTTCTGTTTGTAGGGCTGGTGTCTGAGTGTGAATTCCTGTTCCACAGCTTTTATTTTTTCTGTAATATAAGAGATAAGATATTTTGTTGAGAATGAGGGGGAATGGTGGGTTCAGAGTTCTGAAAAGGGTGAAGAATTTTGGGCATATTTAAAACACTTTGATATTTCTCATTTCCCATATTCCTTAGCACTACTCACAAGGCTGTGTATGAGCAGCCCTGCTAACCTCTCTGGTCTCACTAATTTTCTGCTATTAGCCGCCTCCCTCACTTCACTCCAGCTATGCTCCCTCCTAACTTGGGGCCTTTTCACATGTTAACTTTCTCTGGAATGCTGTCTGTCTTCCTATTTCTCTTGTCACTAATTCCTTCTGGTCCTCTAAGTCTCAGCTTAAATGATGCTGTTCTCAAGCAGCTTACTCTAAAACCATGCCCCTACCATTTGTGTAGTCTGCTTATTAGCTCCCAATTGTACTACATGATAGTACCCTACCCTTCCGTTATGGCCCTCATTACAAGGCAGGTACTATGATTCATCCCAGGTTTGGTGTTTTATATTTACATGACTATCTCTTATTCTAAAGAAATTAGTGTGAGTTGGTATGAGAAATGATGCTCTAGGAGGTTTAGATAAGTAACAGAAAAAAAAAATGAGGAAAAAGTAAAGGCAACCAGAAAATAAAAGCACTTCTGAAAGAGTTGGGAAGCTGTGTAATGAGCTGAGAAGCTAGTGGTTTTCATTTTATAATGAAATTCATGCTCATGTTAAATTAAAGCAAATTATATGAATTAACTATATATGTGTGTATACATAGACATAGAAATAGATATAATCAGTTGTATACAATTTGAAAATCTACTTTTAGATAGGAATTGCCTATAAATTTTACCGGGCTATTATGTGTCCATGTTGCATATTTTGTAAATTCTTGGGTACAATCAGTATGATTATAACTCATAAAGGTCATAATTAGTTAATAAATTTGGTATAGGAATAACTTTTTATCTCATAGATTTTTCTCTAAAGGTTATATATTTTTCCATTTTAGTTATTGACTGTGGATGAGGAAATGGTTATTGGAAAGATTTCAAAACAGTACTCTGGATTTGTAAGGGGAATATTAACCAATGATGAGAAATTTGGGATCCAGTTTCCATTTGATCTTGATGTTAAAATTAAAGCGTTGATGCTTGGAGCAACTTTCCTCATTGTGAGTCTATTTTTACTCTATTTAGCTGAAAATTATATTTTCTGAGATTACCATTGCACTTTTGCTAATATTTCTCCTTGAATCATCTGAATCAACTGTGAATTGTGCCTTTCTGGCCATCCTCAGTCCCCAAATGACATCATGGATTCAGTATTCACATTGCAAAGGAAGCAAAAATTAGAGTGTTCTAGAAACATGATGATTCAGGTTTAAATCCTTAGCCTTCATGAAAAATCAGACTGTCACTGGAAATAGGAAAAATATGGTTCATTCAATGTGACTTGTAGTTATCTCTTACAATGTAAAATTAATACATGCTTGTTACACTTTATTGAAATGGTAATATATTGTTAATTTGGAAACTATAGATATTATTTCATTTAGCTCTATCTCTTGAGCAATACAAAGACCTTAAAAACATTTTAATTCTAATCTCTCTCACACAACTTATATACTTTTGTTGACTAGTGTTTTAGTTTTGCTTCTTTTTAAATTCACAAATTAAATATGTGCTATTAGTTTATTTTTCTAATAAAATCACAGATATGTTTAGCATTTTATTTGCTCTCAAATTTTATTGAACTTTAGATAAGCCCCCCAAGGTTATGTTGCTTTTTCCTAATCCTCACTTAATGTTATTGTATTAGTTCATTTTCGCACTGCTATAAAGAAATACCCAAAACCGGGTAATTTATAGAGGAAAGAGGTTTAATTGACTTACAGTTACACATGGCTAGGGAGGCTTCAGGAAACTTACAATTATGGTGGAAGGTGAAGAGGAAGCAGGCACCTTTTCCACAAGGGGGCAGGAAACAGTGAGTACAAGCACAGGATATGCCAGATGCATATAAGATCATCAGATCTCCTGAGAACTCACTGGCTATCAAAAGAACAGCCTGGGGGAAACACCCCTATGATCCAATCACTGCCCTCCCTCCCCACTTGGGGATTACAGGACCCTGCCTCAACACATAGGGATTATAATTCAAGATAAGATTTGGGTGGAGACACAGCCAAACCACATCTGTCTTCGATAGGTTCTTGGAAACTGCAAATTTAAGCACAATGATATAGAATAAAACTAATTATTTTTGCCATCAACATTATAACAAAACAACATTGGACAAAATGACATTTTTGTAAACCTTCTGTAATTACCAGTTGACAGAAATTGTTAAATTGGGCTGGGCACGGTGGCTCATGCCTGTAATTCCAGCACTTTGAGATGAGGTCGGGAGTTCGAGACCAGCCTGACCAACATGGAGAAACCTCGTCTCTACTAAAAATACAAAATTAGTGGAGCAGGTGGCACGTGCCTGCAATCCCAACTACTTGGGAGGTTGAGGCAGGAGGATTGTTTGAACCTGAGAGGCAGAGGTTGCAGTGAGCTGACATTGACCATTGCATTCCAGCTTGGGCAACAAGCGTGAAACTCCACCTCAAAAAAAAAAAAAAAAAAAAAAAAGAATAGTTAAATTGGATTTTTAGAGTGTCTGTAGTCTCTTTTAAAAAGACAAACCTAAATTAATGACCAAAACACTGAAAGAGAATATGAATAAATACCACAAGAAAGCTAGGGAAGCTAAATTAATACCAGGGGGAAAAAAAAAAGACAAACACATTAAGACTCCAAAAAATAGAAACAAAATGGGTACCTATGATGATAAAGTTTCTACTCAAACAAGATGTAATAATTCTAGGCTTATATGCATGTAATATTAACTTCAAAATATAGAGACAAGTGGCTGGGCGCAGTGGCTCATGCCTATAATCCCAACACTTTGGGAGGCCGAGGTGGGCGGATCACCTGAGGTCGGGGGTTCGAGACCAGCCTAACCAATATGGAGAAACCCCGTCTCCTAAAAATACAAAATTAGCCAGGCATGGTGGTGCACACCTATAATCCCAGCTTCTAGGGAGGCTGAGGCAGGAGAATCGCTTGAACCTGGGAGGCAGAGGTTGCAGCGAGCCGAGATCACGCCATTGCATTCCAGCCTGGGCAACAGGAGCGAAACTCCATCTCAAAAAACAACAACAACAACAAAACAAAATATAGAGACAAGTGTTAAAGATTAGAGTGACAAACCCATCATAAAAATGGGGAATTTACT